AGGCCCATCCTCAATCAATCTGGTAGCGAAGTGGCACTTCGGCACGCATGCTAGGATAATGTTGTTTAACGTTGGCATCCTCAATTCAATTCCGTGCTAGCATGCACGCCGACTCTGAAGTGCAAGCTTGCAAGCTAAAAGCTTTTTCGATGCGTGCCGACTTATGTCATACGCAGTACGATAAAAAATAATTCAGGTTATCCTTGCGTTCAGTATTTTGCTCGAAGAGCAGAGCGTGCAGAGCGGAGCTGTAATCACGTGACCAGCGAGCGCACAGAGCAGTTGAACGCTGTATCAGAACTTCAGAAGGCTCAAAATTTTAATAATCGAACATGAATGAGCCTGCACCGAGTACACTTTTTAAATAAACGAACGATAAATTTATGCTCGGAGAACTCAGATCAAAATACTGAATGCACGGTTCGTGACCGTACTATACGCACAGCAGACTGAAAATTGACAGCATTGAGGATGGGTAGCAATTTCCCAGCACGCGTGCCGAAGTGCCACTTCGCTACCAGATTGATTGAGGATGTAGCTTGAGTGGGCTAATTTGGGCACACTCTGGGCACGTCAACTCTCGATTTCTGAACGATTCCAGCGTAACGCTCCGAGTAAAGGCCGAAACTCACTAGCAACACGCCACGTCACGCTTCGCCACACCACGCCATGTGACGAAAATGTACGCGTATATTCTTCCATTTATTTATATGTGCTGCGTACACACTTGCCATACGCGATACCACGCCATGGCACGCCACGCCATCCGTCCATTTGCACACAAACTGTCCCACGTGAACCTGTGTCACATGGCGTGGGGTGGCGTGGCGTGTTGCTAGTGGGTTTCGGCCTTAAGCACCTCTTAATTTATAAACGGTTTAGAGTTACTCTAGGGTCACTAAGCTTTCACACCCAGAGTGCTATTTCTAAACGCAACCCTGATGTATTTGTATTTATAATTTTTGACAAATTTGCACTCATGCGTTTTTAACTGAAAAAGGCACTCGTGCACTAAAATGCATTCGGGCCAATTTCCCAAAAATTATCGATAATTTAATTTCCATTACACTGGTTATATTATTATTATTGATAATTCTTGAATTTAATTGTCTTAAGTCTTAATTTTTTTTTTCAGTTTGCCAAAACTATATACTATACCAAAATTCAAAACAAAAGTTAAATTGTAGGTATTTGTGCAGTAGCGTAACTTCAAATCCGGGCCCCCCCCGCAAGGATTTTCTCGGGGCCCATCTTTTATATGTATATTTTTTGATTTTTTTTTTTATATAACAATTGAATGTCTTTTCCGGTCTCACCGGAAATGGCATTGACTTTGTTATTTTAAATGGGAAACCCTGTATATATTTTTTTTTGGACTCTCTGAACAATTCTAAATAACTTTTGTCTAACATACCCTATGTCAAAAATTGATAGTTTTTGAAATAGAGTGGATCAAAAATATGTCGTAATTCCTATTTGTTTGTATCTTACGTAAAAACTGCCATTTCCGGTAAAACCGGAAAAGACATTCAATTGTTTTTATATTAAAATTGTTCACAATTTTCAACCCTATCAACAAACCGAGTTGCATATTTCTATCTCGAGCCGTTAAGAAATGCCGCCATGACTCATGAGTAGTAATTTCATTGTCACTCGGTATATATTTTCTAAGGAAAAATGCCATCATAATATACCTACCATAAGTTATTACATTCAAGATTCTAAAGTTGCCATCACTTGTGACACATGTAGAATTAAGCGGCACAAAAAGTTACCCAGATCCAAGGTTCCTATATAAAGTTGAACTTAATAGCAGTGGCGTGTACAGACTTTAAATGACGGGGAAGCTGTGGGGAAAGATGGTGAAAGTACAGGGAGGAGAGACTTATAATTTCAGAACCAGTCAGCCATTCACAAGTTTCATATATTTCTTTTTCTATTTTGGTGTCATATCGAAGTCTTTTCGACACTAAAAGTAGTTTCGAAAAGAAGCTCTTTGTGACACTCCTTTTTTACTTATCGGAGGTTGGTAACACTGGCTGACTGATGGCCATCGAATTGTCATTCGCGATTTTAAAATAGAAGATTTCTTTATTTGGCATGTAGTGTTACCAACCTAAACATATGAAATTAGGAAATATGAAAATAAAATTTCCAAGAAAAATTTGTTTTTTTTAATTTATCAATACCAAAATAGAAAAAATAGTATAAAATATCCGTTTCATAAGACATTTTATCGCACTCGCCCTTTAGAAAACTCGCCTCCGGCTCGTTTTCTAATATAGGGCTCGTGCGATAAAATGACGTCTTATGAAACTTGTATTTTAATGTACTATTTTGAAAATGTCTACATAAGGTTTAGTTTAGTATTCCTAATAATTCCTCGAGGGAAAGCTGTGCTTCCATAGCTTCCATAGTAAACACGCCACTGCTTAATAGGTTTTCTGGTAATGGGTAACTTGATGACGCCTCTGGGGTGCCTTATGAAGATTTGCATTATGTTGGGGCACCCCAGATGACGTCATAAAGTTATCAGGCAACCTACGTACCCCTCTCAAGCAACCTTGACCCAGATCCTCAAAATTTGAATTATATTGGATGATGCGTTCAGAAGTTATCGCCTTGAAACGTCGTGGGGGACACCACCCTATACAATATATGTATTTACATAATATAAAGTGTAGTAGAATGAAACAACGCTTTTATTTTCAGTTGTTTAAAAACTCATTGAAAAATAAGAAACCAAAAGAGATACCTACATGAATCAAATTTTGAAAATAGCACAAAAATTAAGAAATATAGGAAACATAAATACATTCCAAGCAAGCACATAATAAAAATAGTAAATATAACAGAAAAATTAAAAATAATTAATATATTCAAAAATAGATAAATAACATTATCACTTATCTACCCTACCTGTTAAAGGGGGTGTGCGCCAAAAAAACAACTTCATCTCAAAAAAAAGAGAAAAAAAATCTAAGAATAACAGTGAAATCCGCACCCCTCTATGACAAATAATACCGCAGATATGGCTCTATGAAGGTACCGCATCTCACCCTATGACGACACGAAAGCTCAAGCGACGAACGAGAAAGTGGAGTTAATTAAATTTACATGTTTTTCCTGTGTTACCTGCAATAATCTAAACAAAAACCACTCAGGCGTGCCGGGAACAATCAAATTAACAATGCGGAGAGCGGTTGGAAGAAGTTTTCGTGACGTCACGAGAGCGTCGTCCACACTTTAAAGCGGTATATCTCAGCGATGGTTTATCGTAGAATAACGAGGTTTGAACATTTATTCTTAGATTTTTTTACACTAAAACTTTAATTTTTGGCGCACACCCCCTTTAAGTGTTAGGATAAATAAACAAAACATCATTAGCATCGTTTAAAAACATAACATACCTCACGCACAGGACAAGAAAATCTCGAAGAAAATATTTAAAAAAGAAGAAAAGTCCCTGTGAAGTAAAATAAAAGAAAAGCAAAGCGAAGACCAAAACCTAAGAATCCTTTCTGCGGGTCTTGTGGCTGGCAAATGCCCTAACTGGCCTAACTGATGCAGGTATGTCAATTTTACTAGCTTCTATGGACAGCAGCTCCATTTTTAATAGGCTTGAGCTTTGAAAACAAACGTTCTGCCTTGGCTACTGTCTACTGTTACAGGCAACGTCAAAAATAGGACTAATACGGAGATTACTTCAGTAAAACTAATACAACTAATCTCCAAATTTCCCTTCATTTTTTCAGTTTTGGAATTTCTGTCCCTCTTCCCTACACCCAGAAAAAAAAACACCAATTTTCCCCATTCGGATTAAAAAGTATATGTATACCTATAAAAAAAAATACTTGTGGCCCTGCGGGCCCTTAGTTACGCCACTGTATTTGTGTGTAGGTACCTAATAAATACACACAATAATAAAATCGATTAACTTTCCCCAGAAAGATGAGAAATTCCTTGAGACCCGGCAACGCTGTTTAACAACAAGAACACGATTCTACATTATACTGTTTAAATATTTTGAGACCCCTCAATCCCTCTCATGCTCTCATGCCCCCGTATTCGCCCATCGGTCGTTGTTTACACAAAATGCCATACATTTGTTGGTGGCAGCACTAATCAATGATGTGTTTTCCGACATCAACCGTCGCCGAAAAAAGACGGGAGATGGTATCTGCATTTATTTGAGAAAGATGGGAATAATTTTTGTCGCAAGCCACGATTATTTCTATAGAGGTTAGGCATCTTCCTCTACTTCGTTTTGTGGACCTTTGTAAAGAACCAACACCACTAGTGAAGAACCCAATTTTCCAAAAATATTTTAGAGATCTTCCTCACGAAAACTAGTATTCAAGTTATTCTAGTACCTACTTATTTAAAACCTTTGTTTCCGTATACTTCGAATCTTATTTTATTTTTCAATATTGTTCTCTGTTTTTTTTTATAGTATGGTAATTTCACAGCCTCCGTAATTTGAATAAAAGCTATAAATACAACATTGGCAATAAATATCATGGCGTATGTGTCTAAATTATTTTTACGAAGATCCTACAAAGGGGCGTATGTCCATTGGCTACTAATTTTTGTATGACAGCTAAACGATATGGAAAATCTGTTATATTAGCCTAAAAGTATGAAAATTTATCTGCCTCAATAAATATCTGTACATTAAAAAATATATATTCGAACAGAGTGGTAGCTTCCTAATTAACAACTTTTTTTAAATGGCAATCCTGTAAAATTATCTATTTGTACCTTACGCCCCTTCGTCAGATTAGCGAAGATATATCAGGACTATCCACAAAATTCCAGCATATATCTCTTACCATAGACCGTACCATACCACACCATAGACCGCATAGTGTGCGGTAGAGTGCTACTTTCCACTTGTAAATTAGTGCGATGAAGTTCACTTCTAGCACGCTTGTAGGTAAGCGATGCTACCACTGAGCCCATAAAACAAAACAAATAGGTATTCCAATAACTCAAAATAATAATTTTGGGAAATATAGTATATTTATATCAATTGAAAATCAGTTCTCAAAAGTGAGTAGGTACTAAATAGGGCTTTTGAATATTGTTTGACCTTCTTCATAAAAACCCACAAAAAGAAACTATTACACACTTACTTTCAAGAAAATATCATTATTCGTACAAAATTTCAAAACAACGACAGTACAAATGAGAGAAACTTATTCCTACCAAAATATAAAGTGGAAATGAAAAATAAAAACTTAAAATTAACAAATACAGGTTTAAGTCCAACGTATTCAAAGTAAATAAGTATACAAAACAGAAAACAGAACAAGCATCTAATTAATTTTTTTAAGTGTAACTGTAAATAATAGGGTAGAAGAAGGAGGAATGGCTGGTGGAGATCCTTTTGCACCATACCTATAGAAAAAAAAAATAAGATACTATTCAAACCAATAATAGTTGGTAAGTGACTTACGCAACATTCGGCGGACAAGTAATTTTCCTTACTCCTCCCACTTTCATTCCGATTATTCCCTTATCCCAGCCTTTAATAACTTCACCAGCGCCAAGACGGAATCTGAAGCCAGGTCCTTTGGTTAACGAGTCAAACATTTTATTATTTTTTTCAAGCCTGCCCTCATAGTAAACGGTAATGAAACTACCGTTTTTGGCTAAGGGTCCATCACCTTCTTTTAGGTCTTGAATGGATACGCCACCTTTTAGGACTTGTTTTTTTAGGGATGGTTCTTTTTTCGCTTTTTCTTTTTCCTTAAAATAATTGAGACATTTTGGTTAACGGAACATATTGTAATTTTTAACATGTTTATTAAAAAGAAAAATGATGCCCTGGAGCATTGGCGGTACAAGCTTCATTACAGCAGTGAGTAGGGAATATACAACGACTCGGTCAACGACCTTGTCTTGGCAACCACATTAGTGCTGTAATGAGTGAGTGTGATGTACGTTTTATCTACAACCTAGTTTTTTTTATGCATTCAAAATGGTTTCGATTTTTCGGTGACCTTAAAGCTCAAGTCTGAAAGAAGATATTTTCTGAACAAGTACTTTAAGCAACACTGCAAGCAGTTGTTTGAATATCCAAAACGTTCAAAACAAAACCACAGTTCAGATGCTGACATCAGCATCAGATATTGGTTTTACTTTTAGGCTCGGTTTATTGATCTGCAGATAATAATGCTGGTAATTATCTGCAAGATAAATTTACTGTTCTATAATTCTATTCGTTGGCAGATAACTGGCCGACCACTGAAAATACAGATTGTGTTTTTATCAGTCAGATTGCATGTCTGACAGTTTATCAGAAGGTGAATAAACAGGCCTTTAATATTTATAATTTTTTCGAATAAATAAATAAATTAGAAAATAGCTGTTTTTTTTTTTTAATTAAAATGAGTTACGTAATGAGCTTAATAAATCACCAGTGATATAATGAGCTCATTACATTACAAGTACGATAATATAATTTATTATGTAACTCAAATAGGCTGAAATGGGTCACATAATGAGCTCTTATAGGTGTAAACAAAATTAGTAGGAGTAGCTATAAAGGCCATATCAAAATAAACCAAAACCTAACTAGCCAATGAAAGCAGAGGAAAACCATGAAACTCAAAAAATCAGAAAAAAGTAAATCGATTCGACATCGCTAAGAATTGGTAGAATAGTTATTAGGGTATCAAGAATATTATCCTTAATACCTGTGGTACCTCAACGTTTAATGTCCGACTAATTATTTTTTATATCAGAAAATCTTGAACGAATTTTGAATTATTTTAAAACAAATCGAGGACTAGCATTTACCTGGAAAAAGTCATAACTGTAGTAACCACTTGATATTCCCGCTCAAACTTTTAAATTAAAATTTGCGCCGGATGTCAGTGGCGCTCCCTGGCGGGGAGAGCGAGAAAGCGTTGGGGAAGGAAGGAAATATGGCGGAGAGACGTGGTTGCGCAGGACGGACCGTCCGCCATTGAATGGTATTTTTGGAAATAAAATTGTTCTAAACGGTTGTGCTCCTTTTTCTGAGTTTGAAACCGCTCGTTTAAGCCTTCCTACAATTTCAGAAGTGGGATATGTCCCGGAAAAGTCGCGATTACTTTGGATATTGTGAGTTTTATGGATTAGTTGTGAACACGCGTTTCATGCACACTGATTTTTGTGGAATTTTGTAAAAATATGGCCCACGGCGAAGGAGATATGAATCCCATAGTTCGGTCCGATATCAACGTGAGTGATTTTGAATATTTTTATGAGGCGCAATCACGTCAACCACAAGTTAACCAGCAAAATATGGGTGAAAATGGAGATCAACAGCAACCACGGCACAATTCAGCTCATTTTTCAGGTATTTCCAAAAATCATGCTCCTGAAACGACTGAATTTAATCGGGCTACAGCCCCGAATATTGATATTATCGCCCTAATTATATCTATGAATAATTTAATGCAACAAAATGCCACGATTATGCAATTGCTGGCCAAGAACTCGATTTCAACAGCCCCAGCCCCAGCCCCTGTTCAGTCATACACAGTTATGCCAGATTTTTCCAAAACAATACCGATATTTAATGGAACAGATTTATTGCAGACTAAATCATGGATTGAAGGAATCGAAAGTGCAGCTTTGTTGCATAATTGGCCCCCTGAATTTAAGCTGCAAACAGCAAAGATTAATTTAATTGGTGCTGCTGCCAGTTGGTATGAGGCACGAAGAAACAATTTAACATCTTGGGACAGTTTTAAAATTGCATTTATGAATACTTTTGGACATGAGAAGAATATAACAGCAAAAAGAAGATTTGAGCTTATACTTCCACGATAAAGTTAGGTTATGTGGAGAATTGAGAATGTCTTTTGAGGAGCAAAAAGAACAAATAGCCATTGGTTTGTTTTCACGTGAACTTGCTACAATGATAATAACCAAATCTCATATGGATATTGACGAATTATTTAGAGACTTACTTGCTTATGACCGAATTAGTAATGAAAGAAGGCGAAGAAACACCAATGACGACCGAAGGCAGAATATTAGGGCAACAAATAATGTGAATCAGCTTCAGACAACAACAACAACCCATAATAAAGTGCAAAACTCAAGATATTCTGCTGCAAGTCAAGGAGGCATAGTTAAAAGTGTTGTAAGGTGTTTTAATTGCCAAGATGAAGGACATATCTCTACAAATTGCTCCAAACCTAAGAGGGAGAGAGGATCATGTTTTATTTGTGGATCTCTTCAACACCAAGTAAGGTCCTGCCCGCAAAAAATTAGTAATTTGAAAACCATCAATGGAAAGCATACAGGAAATGATGCTTCAACAAACCTGGTAGAAGTAACTGATGTTGTGCCATCATATCGAGTTGATGCTCAGGTGTTTTTTGGAGACAAACAGAGGAAATTATCACCAATTTTGGATACAGGTAGTGCCATTTCTTTAATAATTTCTTCTTGCGTGCCTGAACATTTAAAAGATAAAAACATTTCTCAGAAATCATTTCATGGAATAAACAATTCAAATCTAAAGGCGATTTTCAGCCTGGAATGATTATTTATCGGTAAATACCGTGGTTATTCTTTTGGTTGACAACTTTGACAGCCAAGTGTGACGTCATAGCCCCCCACCATCCAAGAATCATAACCCAAGGAACTGACCGCTGAAATGATTTGGTTATAGCAGTGTAGGATTATGTTTATTATTCTTATTTGTTTTTTCATTTCAACAATAGTTTTTTGTTTAGGTACAAAAAAATGGAGCTGAATCTCTCGTTAGTCTCGTTTATCGAACAGATTTTCTTTGGGGATGATCTAAACCTCGATCTAAACATGGTGAATTGCAGTGAGTGAGTGAATGTATACTTCTTTCATTGTGCCAGGCTACAATGCAACTGCAAAATCACAAAACACCAATACAAATTCCAAAAATAATAACAATAACATCAAAAAGCTGTAACCAAAAGATTAATCCAAGTCCAAAGCTGGGTTATAATCGGTTATAAGTGGTAAATACCAAAAGCAAATCAGCTGATTTGTGACGTCACAACTTCCCCTACTTTGGTTAAAACCGCGACGGCGGAAATGCATTGGTTATAACCAAATAATAACCATTCCAGGCTGAAAATCGCCTTAAGTAGTTTTGGGAACTTTAAAACAAACCTTATTGTAAATAATTTATGTTTGGAAGTAGATTTTTATGTTGTGCCAGAGTCTACAATGAAATATGATTGTCTTTTAGGTAGAGACTTTATAGTTAGTAACAATTTAAGTATAACATTTTGCGACAAAGTTATTATCTCACAGAATAACGATTTGAAAATGGAGAATAATATTTTTCTTATAGATATACCACCTGCACGAGATTTTGATCTAGATATTAATCCAAATCTTGAACCGAAGCAAATTTTGAATTTTTTCGAAATATTTGAAAATAATTATGTCAAAGCAACTAGACCTGAGAAACCTGAAATTAAATTTGAAATGACGATTAATATTAAACCTAACCATTCACCTTTCTTCTTTAGAGCTAGACGTTTATCCTTTTATGAAAAGAATGAAGTCAATAGAATAGTTAATGAATTACTTGAGAAAGGTATTATACGCAAAAGTAATTCTGAGTACAGTTCTCCTATAGTGTTAGTACCCAAAAAACCTACAGGTTTAAGAATGTGTGTAGACTATCGTAGGTTGAATGATATTTGTGTGAGGGATAATTGGCCTTTACCTCTGATCGATGATCAAATTGATTTATTGAGAGGTAAAAAGTTTTTCACTCAGCTTGATTTAAAAGATGCTTTTCACCATGTAACCATTAATGAAGATTCGATTAAATATACCAGTTTTGTCATTCATGTCTCTCGATATGAATATCTAAAAATGCCATTCGGGTTGAAAAATAGTCCTGCCAACTGTTGAAATTTCATTTCAACCCGCTGCCGCCGCCGCTGCATTTAAAGTTAAATTTCTTTATATTTTTATTCCTACTATAATCTGCTGTTTCTACGTTTCTACCCGATTTTCAAGGGAACGTGCGTATGCCCAAGCGCATCGCAAAAGTAGGTCAAGACTGGAGGTGGAGAGTATTTACCTACGAAGTCGAAGTTTTTTGTTTGCCTTGAGTTCTCACTTCTAGTCAGAGATCGCAACGAATTGCAAGGGTTGTTTTGTACCGCTTTTTTCTTTTCTCCAAATGGCCCGATCGTGCGCCTGAAATCAACCTTTTCTTTCTCTTCAGTTTTCTATTGTTTAATTGCTGTTAATTAACCAATTATTTGCGTTAAAGTGAACGTTCCATATACTTATTTAAATATGCAATGTTCTTCAGAATTTGTTACCTGTTTTCTGTAAATAGTTGTAAATAGTCGTTTTTCGTTCAAATTAAAATAAAAACACTTTTCATAATCAAACCATCGTGTTTCCTTGAACCTGGATTTACGAACAAGAATTAGCACGGCATTGGCAGCATTCTACCACAGATTCTACTCTTGAAAAATAAATAAATGTTGGAAACCACAACACCAACTTTAGTCGATATATTCATTTGATTTTCAGAGATCTTATTGAAAAAAATAAAATGTGTATTTATGCTGATGACATTTGTATTGCAACCAAAACATTTGATGAGAATTTAGCTATTTTAATTGAAATTTTTGATTTATTAACAAGAAATCATTTAGAGTTGAATTTAAAGAAATGTTCATTTTTCAAAGATACTATTCAGTTTTTAGGTTATACAATTACGGAGGATTGTATTACAC